GTACCATTTATTATCATATTGCTCGTCACATAGTACCTACAATCAATGGAAAAATTTAGGTACCCAAGGCTTTTTGGGTCTTTGGAAATTAGATTTCAATTTCGAATGAAATGAAGAACTTTTAACCAAATCACAAACTTTGGTTTTGAGACTATCAAGTAAGTTTACATCTTCATTTAAAGGAACCGAAACATAAGTTTTTGATGGTTTCGATTGTTCACTGACATTACCCTTCGAATTCTGAGTTTGTGAATGAACATTCTTTGCTTTTATTACTGGTTTCCAAGCTTTAAACTGATATGTTCGAATCCTTAGAAGATGAACTGCCGTTTGATGAAGTATTCACATACTTCTCATATGCTTCGTGAATTTGCTCCTTTGAAAATGTATTCGACTGATACATCTTTCCTTTGCCTTCAAGCCAATGATCAATGTTCTTCCTTGAAGTCATTCCTTTTTCTCGTGAAATTTTCATAGTTTCTTTCTTCGTTTGATTTGGAAAATTTGGCTTTTGAGGAACAAAATCAACTTTTGGTTTTGTTATAAAAGATTGAGCATATGATTTATCAACTGTTGATTTAAAATGTTGACTTTGAAGAAATTTTTGATTTGGATTTGAGTTATTTGAAAATTTTCTTGGAATATTAGTTTCTGAAACTTTCGAAAACCTTGGTTGTTTATTCACTTCAGACTTTAAATGATTTGATTGAGATGAATGTTGAGGTTTTGTTGAAAAAGAGGAAATTTTAACTTTAAAAACATTTTTGGGTGATTGTGATTCAGACATCTTTTGAGACTCAACATTTTGCCAAAATATTTTCTTTCTTGCTTGTCTTTTTGAAATGTTGTTTTCTTTCGAAAATCTGTCAATTTGATCTTTGAATAATCTTGGAGTTTAGTTTGACAACTTTTTCATTTTCCTTTATAACTTGTTTTGAATTCTCTTTTTCAATTTTTGATTTTTCAACCCATTTTCTTTGTGGTTTTTGACGTTGAAACACGTACGAATTCTTTGTTAAGTTGTTTTCAACTGTGCTTTGATTTGCGAAAAAACCTTTATCAGTTATTTTTGAATTATCCTCCTCAACTAATTTCTTTAATTCTGGTTTGATATTCTCAACATTTCCAGTTGTTACGAAAACTTGATTTGGAAAAATGACATCATCTGTACACTTGAAATTTGGATAAACCACAGTATTTGTTTCAAGGTAATGTTCACCTTTTTCAGTCTTTACTTGTTCGAACTTTTGTGTATCACCATACACTTGATCAACCACTATTCGTGGAGTTTCTACTTCCTTTGAAGATTTCTTTTCCTTCGAAATTTTCTCTTCATTTTCATCATCGCTATCATCAGTTTGACTGTCTTTGATATCCACGAATTTCATATCACAAACTTTCAAAGTTGAAGGTATATCAATTTCTTTCTCAACCATCAAATCCTTAACTATTTCTTTTCCTCTAAATGTAGATGCAACATTAACAACAGACAATTGGGAACAATCAACATCCTCAAGTTCACTAATTTCACTAATATTGTCAGAATTATCTTCAATATCAGCAAAATTAGATTGAGAATCAGATGTTGAATTCTCAGTCTTTTTCAAAATTTGAATTTGTTCAGATTTAGTCAAAGTATCATTCACTATGTTAACTAATTCATTCGCATCAAGACATTCATCAATTTTGACAATTCCATATTTATATCTATCATCAGGAACTTTGTCAAAATCAGCTATAATTTGCTCACAATCATACGAAATATTATCTACCTTAGCTCTTTCGTATTCTAGAAAAGGTAGTAACTTTCTATGTTGCTCTTTACTTATTTCACATGAATGATGTAAATCAGTTAATTTTCCATAAAGTCTTTTAGCAGCATTACAATAAATGTTTCTTTGTGCTAGCAAAAGTTTGACATCACTTGATAAAGTATCCCTATCACACATAATATTTGTTATTTGTAATTCCAAACAATCAATTTTACTTATTTTCATTTCTAATTGCTTTTTGGTCTCTAACAACTCCATTGACAACTTGTTGGCCTCATTGCTAGCAGACACAACAATTGAATCAAAATAAGTAACCGTATCATCAAAAGATATTAGTTCAGAATCATAAGCATGTGTAGGAATATTGAAAGATTCGAGAATTTTACGTACCTTTGTTGTCATTGGTGATTTGTCTGCTGTCTTGGATACGAAGCATCGTCCTTTCACTTCGAATTCCTCGTCATCTGAGTCCTCCTCCATTTTCGCATACATTGCTCCATGTGTTGGATTCCTCATTTCTTCATCATCTGATCCGGATGACCAGATTTGATACATTCCATCTTCATCCTCATGTTCACCTTTTGCAACCAATGACAAGTTTTTGGCTTTTGCACGAACCTCCTCAAGCTTCTCTGCATAATACGCCTCATCTTTAACTTTATTTTTTCCTCTCATCCTTCTTTCGAAGCATACAATCATTCGCAAGATGATTAGCTCCGTTGCAATAATGACAATCTACACCACCATCACCTTTCAGCTTTTTCTCGATTTTTCCTTCAGACATTTTCGAATCTTTCATCTCAATTTTCTTTTTCTCCTCAACAGCAGTTTTACTTACAACATTTCCTTTTACCTCAGCAAGCTTAGTCTTCGGATTGAACGGCTTTTTGAAAAACTTCTTAACACGATTATTCGAGTAAAAAGCTATCGCCTCATCATCCGAATTCATGATGAATCCTTCTTCTTCCTCAGAATCACCATTTTCAGCTTCTTTCTCAAATATCTTTGACACAAGTACCAATGGACCTCCCAAATTCAGCTTCGTCTCCTCAGCAATTTCATTTACCTCAGTTTCGTGTGTCTTCAACTGATTGTACAAATCATTGAGAGTTGATGTACCAAAACTTTGCTGATTCTTTACCATCATACTTACGCTTCTCCATTCTTTTTCGAAGACCCATCACAAAAATGAGATTGAATTCCATTGAAGTCCTGGTAATTCCATAGCGATTACAACGATAGATTAACTCGTTCAGTCGATCATAGTAGACTTCAATTGTTTCACCTTCTTTTTGTCTGAAATCTTTCAACTCAACCAAACATTGTTTGACTGAATTGATTTTAGTCTTCTCACTTCCTTGAAACTTATCTTTCAGATTGTTCCAGATCTCCTTTGCAGTTATACAACTCCTTACATAATTGTACACAACTGGAGGTAAAGCTCCTCGCAATTCTCTTATACATCTCTTCTCTAGTTTCTTCAGACGATCAGTTTGATTATCAACAAGAGAACTTGTAGTAGATGAACCAATTGCTTGAACAGTCACTGGAACATTAACATTTCCAGTGATACATGACCATAATTCTTCATCAAGTCCATTCAGATAATCCTGCATACGATCAGCCCACTGATCATAGTATACAGGGATTAGCATTGGAATTTTGGTTGATGATCCTAACAAATGAGAAAACGAGGTCATCGAATTGAGATTGAAACTCGCCATTGTTGTACGGAAGTTGGTTTTGAAAATTCTTAAGAAGATTTGGAAATTTGAAAACAAACTAGTTGAATCAAACTGAAATTGCTAGAAGAACACTCGATTCAACAATTCAAATGCAGAATCAAATCACAGACTAAGATCTAGACAATTTTTCACGATCAAAAAGTGCGGAAACTTTCAAACCAAAAATTTGATTCAAAAACTTTTTGAATGGATGAAAATCAAATCACATATGTGATTCCTGCTCTGATACCAATTGATGAATCAAAGAATCAAGTATAAAACAAATCAGAGTATGAAATCAATTAAGAATGCGAGATTGAACACCAGATGTAAATATGATCTTGTTTCAGCTCTATTACGCTTTCGAATGTTTACAGAGAATAAAGACAGGTCTGTAAAAACTCTTTTCTAACTCTAGTAAATATCCCTATTTATAGGGAACTGAAAGCGTACAAAAAATATACTAAGGCATAGACACTAACACTTCGAATAAAAGCGCCTTAGTAAAATACATTACAAGACATTTGAAGAGTACAGAATACAATTCGACTTATTACAATAATTCGACCCTTACAACCTCTATGGTATTGTAACATCCCCCTCTGGCACGTATCACAATATTGTCCGCTTTGGGCTTCCGGCACGAAAACTTCCCAGGGGGTCACCCATCCCTGGATTGCTCTACCCCGGGCTCGCTTAACTGCAGAGTTCTTATGGGATCTGCTGCCTTCACGGCTTTAAAACACATTGTGACAACGAAGGTATCCACACCCCTTATAAGGAAATGGTTTGTTCTCCTTCCAAGCCGATGTATGATCAGGTGCAACCCACCTTCACCCCCCATTATAGGGTTCGACGTCCTCGTCAAACACATCGACCCGTGCCCCAGCTCTGATACCATTTGTAACATCCCCCTTTGGCACGTATCACAATATTGTCCGCTTTGGGCTCCCGACACAAAAACTTCCCAGGGGGTCACCCATCCCTGGATTGCTCTCGCCCGGTCTCGCTTAACTGCAGAGTTCTTATGGGATCTGTTGCCCTCACAGCTTTAAAACGCATTGTGACAAGGAAGGTATCGACACCCCTTATAAGGAAATGTTTTGTTCTCCTTCCAAGCCGATGTAGGATCAGGTGCAACCCATAGAATAACTAAAGAATAAACCCGGAACCCCGAGAGGTAATTTTATTATTATTTTAGATTATTATAGCACAAAAACAAATAATAATTACCGGGATGTTAGCTTTGGGGGTTAAAGTGTAATTAAGGGACTTGTTTTGAAAAGGTTTTGTAAGAGGAGGGGCTATTTGGTATCATTAGGACCTAATATAAAAAAATTTATGGAAGCAAGGGTTAAAGAGTAAATATTGGACTTATTCTGAAAAGGATTCTTGAAGCCAAGGTAGAAATGGTAAATTTTGGGATTTAACTTGAAAGAATAAGGATAAGGAGGGACGGGAAGTGTCAAGTGGGACAAAGTTTGAGAAGGGACGGTGCATATAAATGCATTACGCATGCATTGTAACCCTAACCCTAGAGGTATTGTTCCCAGCCGCCAACTTCACCATCCTTATACCCCCCCCTCTCACAGCCGCCGCCGACCACTTCGTCGCTGCCTTGAACCACCGAATGGCTGCCATCACAACTCCAACGATGGGGTTGAACCTTGATAGTATGGTTGCTGCTGTTGTTTTATCGACCATCGTTCCCTCGTTCCTCCGAGTTGCCGTTCGTCATGCTGTCATTCTCGTTGCCGGGTTGCGTCGCCACCTAGCTCCGCCATCGCTGGCCGCTATCGGGACAGAAGAAACACGTTGGCTTCAGTCAATGTTAATGCTCTCGGTGGAGAATCGCATCTCCTCTACTCTCGGTTCTGTTGCTGCCGCTGCTAGACTGTTCCGACGAGGGTGTGACTACTCCAAGCGAGGGTGTGTGTTTCAGCCGTAGGTTGCAATCATGGGGAGGTGTTTTGGGTTGCTGATTGTGACATGGTGCTAGTTGGACCCGGAGACGAACCACCATCGTCGCCGGCCATGGTGGCTGCCGCCTTCTCGTGACGTCATCACCGCCGTGAGCCACCAGGTGGGTGGCGGGACTCACTTACAGCAGAAGAGCATGTGTGTGTGTGGTTTTGTTGGCTGGATTTCATGAGAAAAGCCACCACCACCCCCCGTGAGGTGGTGGCTAGCACCTCCGACCACCGCCTGCCGCCACAGGGTGGTTGTGTGTGTGTATTTTACTTGGTGTTTATTTTTGAGTCATTGTGTGTATTATTGTAATTGTAACCAGAATAATAATAGAAAAGTCTAAACCACCAACGTAGGGTGGTGGTTGCCGCCTCCTGCCGCCACCGGCCGCCGTGTCGGGTGGCGGTGTGCGTTGATTGCATTTGGGCCTCGTTTGGTTGATGTTTGGACAATGTGGGACCAAAGAAACCCTAGTGGGCCCAATGGAACCCTAATGGGCCAATAAGGCCCAATGTGACCTAAAAGCCCAACCAATGGACTAATGGGTTAGTATTGGGTTAGAAAACCCTAAGAGCATAAAACCCTAATTGTGGGAATCGTTTGGGACACACACGAGAATTAATTATTAAACCTAAAATAATAATTAATAATCATTGGCAAACCAACTTAAGGCAATAATGGACTTAATGGATTAATTCCTTAATGGATTAAGTCCTTAATGGGTTAAGTAAGAAACACTTAACCCTAATCATCATTTCATGTGAAATCCCTAATCTCACTCGGGCCTTGAATTGGGCCTTCCTATTGGGCTTTGGTGATTGGACTATTGGTGGGCCATCAAAGAACAAGTTAATGGACCCCAAGTAATTAGATGGGCCTTAGTATAAGGCCCATGTGAGGACTTGGGCCCAATTTGGAAAATTGGGCCATAATTGGGCCTTTATGATTATGTGATATTGGGCCATGGGAATTGGATTGGAATAATTGGATGGGCCTTAAGGAAAGACCATGTGGAGGTCTGGGCCCAATTTGGAAAGTTGGGCCATATGTTGGACTTTGGCCCATTATTTGACTTTTGGGCTTTTGTAGTGTGAGTTGGACCTTGGGCTTGGAACCAAATTATTAATTGGGTATTGTTTAATGTTGACAGTTTGGGAATCTGTCAACCAGCAGCTGGAGTTATATCTGCGGGACTTCAGCAGTGCCAGGTGAGTTATCCTCACTATACTAAGGGGTCTAAGGCACCAAGGCTGGCCCATTGGATATGATATCCTAGTAGTTAGTATTATGTTGAGTATGAGTTAGTTATGCATGCTAGTTTGATATGCTAGAGGGTAGGTCTGTAGGACTACATGTGATATTGTCTGTTTATCTGTATGTGTACTTATCTGTTATATGTCGACATATTATGTGGGATGGGTTGAGGTGATACTGCTCCGTGCGGTAACCAATAAACCCGGGAGCATTCCAGATACGAGCTGAGGGACAGGTGGGGCATGCTAGACTCGTACTGTGGGCTCGGGAGCATTCCAGATACGAGCTGAGGGAGACTTGTACTGTGGGCTCGATGGCAATCCAGATGTGAGATGTGGGCCCGGTAGGCAATCCAGACTCACACTGTGGGCCCAGGGGTAATCCAGCCTGTAAAGTTGTGGACCCATTACATGTTGTTCAGTTTGTTATGTTATTGTTGACATGGTTATGTGGACTGTATGTGTATCGGTATTTTGGGGGTAACTCACTAAGCTTTCGGGCTTACAGTTTCAGTTTATTGTCTCAGGTACATCAGGGAATCGTGTCAAGGCAAAGGCGTGATCGTACAACTCCTCACTTGTTATGACTTTGTTTCTGGGATACTCTGATATTAAAATATTTTGAAAACATTTTGTAATGACTAATAGGTTTTGAATTGTTTAAAAAGTTTTAAATTGGCTTGAATTTTTGGGTGTTACAGGTACAAAGTGCACCATCTTCACGGATCACAAAAGCCTCTAGCACATTCTAAACCAAAAGGAGTTGAACATGAGGCAGCGAAGGTGGGTCGAGCTGCTAAATGATTACGAATGCGAGATCAAGTACCACCCAAACAAGGTTAACGTGGTAGCTGATGCACTAAGCAGGAAAGAATACTCAGGTCGTCGGGTTAAAGCATTATCGATAACCATCCACTCCCACCTAACCTCACAGATCAAGGGAGCTCAATCAGAGGCATTGAAGCCGGAGAATGCTGCAAATGAAATGCTGCGTGGGATGGATAAAAACCTTAAAGCCAAGGATGACGGAGCTTACTACTTCATGAATAGAATTTGGGTCCCAAAATTTGGGGGATTCAGAGAGATAGTCATGAACGAAGCTCATAAAACACGATATTCCATCTATCCAGGTTCTGATAAGATGTACATGGACATCAAACAATGTTATTGGTGGCCAAACATGAAAGCAGAAATCACCACTTACGTGGGCAAGTGTCTCACTTGTGCTAAAGTGAAAGTGGAGTATCAGAAGCCCTCGGGATTGTTACAACAGCCAGTGATACCCGAGTGGAAATGGGAAAGGATTACCATGGATTTCATAACCAAATTACCTAAGACATCGGACAGATTGGATGCTATATGGGTGATTGTCGATAGGTTAACCAAATCTGCCCATTTCCTGCCAATAAAGGAATCGTACAAGATGGAAAGATTAACACGAATCTATATAAGAGAGATCGTATGACTTCATGGGGTACCAGTATCTATTATCTCGGATCGGGACAGTAGATTTACTTCAAGATTTTGGCAATCGCTCCAGAAAGCTAGGGGAACACAACTAGACATGAGCACTGCCTACCACCCTCAAACTGACGGCCAAAGTGAGAGAACCATCCAAACACTTGAAGATATGCTCCGAGCCTGTGTGGTCGATTTTGGCAAAGCATGGGATACCCACTTGCCCTTAATTGAGTTCTCGTACAACAATAGTTATCACACGAGCATAAAGATTGCTCCTTTTGAGGATTTGTATGGTCGTAAATGCAGATCGCGTCTCTGTTAGGCTGAGGTGGGTGACACCCAGTTGGAAAAAGGGCAAACACCAAACAACACTCTCACAGGACCCGAGATCATTCGGGAAATGACAGATAAAATAATCCAAATCAAGGCACGACTCCAAGCATCGCGTGACCGACAAAAGAGCTATGCTGATAAAAGGCGAAAGCCTCTGGAGTTCCAAGTCGGAGATCGGGTGCTATTGAAAGTCTCTCCCTGGAAGGGGATGATCCGTTTTGGTAAACGGGGAAAACTAAATCCACGATACATCGGGCCATTCGAGATTCTTGCCCGGATTGGTCCGGTGGCTTATAAGCTGCAGCTACCTGTGGAGCTCAGCAACGTACACCCCGTGTTCCACGTCTCGAATATGAAAGAGTGCTTATCAGATGAAACCCTTATCGTTCCTCTGGAGTAGATCGAAGTAAATGTAAATCTCCTATTCGTCGAAGAACCGATTGAGATAATGGATAGGGAAGTGAAGCGTACAAAACAGAGTCGCATACCGATTGTGAAGGTTCGATGGAACGCTAAGTGTGGACCGGAATTCACATGGGAACACGGGGACCAAATGAAGCTAAAGTACCCTCACCTATTCTCTCGTTCATAGTTCTATCCTTCAAAAGAATTTCAGGACAAAATTCCCTCTAACGGGGGGATGATGTCACAACTAGCATTTTTGGCTAGGAAATTATGTCCTCATGTAGTCAACTTTTGTGTAATTTGTAACTTTAAGTTGACATTATGCTCTATGCTCATTCAAAATCAACCATTTGAACCAAAAACTCACTCGTGAAGTTCAAAATCTAACTCAATACATCTCATATACTCAACTGTAGGTTTGAAACCCTAATATCCCGGTTCAAACTCAAAATGGACCAGGATCCTCTTATTGGGCCTAATGGGCCAGTAAACTTTCAATTTAGCTATTTTGGGCCAAGGAACTCCATTTGGACTCTAATTGGACCCACTTTCACTAAACTATAACCTTTTGGGCCATATTGGGCCTAAAATATCTCACTTCATTTTCATGGGCCTTTATGGGCCGTGAACAATCTTCTTGAACCTAAATGGGCCGAAAACCCATTATGTTCACTCTTTTGGGCCGTAAACCCAATTCTTTCATCATTTTGGATCATAAACCCTCAAATGGGCCCAATGGGCCGAAAACCTTCATAGTGGGCCACATAATTTCGAATATATTCAAAAATGGCCCAAACATTTCTTTCTCTTTTCCTTCCCTCTCATTATCGGCCATATATACATATAAAAAAGGAAAATTAATTAACATAAATTAAGGTTTGACACCTCATGTTTGTTTAATGGATATCCATGCAATTACACAACATTTATCTAGACAAATCTCATTTATCCATGCATGTCACTTCTATGCTTGTTGATCTAAAAATGTTATTTTTCGGTTATAAGGGCTGAAAATGATAATTTTATCAAACATGGGCTAAAAAGGAATAATTTCTATGCTTTTGGGCCGAAACTGATCGTTTTGACAACAGTGGGGTTAAAAATGTTATTTTACTTCAATCAAGCCATTAAATGTAAAATTTTGGTTTTAAAGGACCTAAAGTGTGATTTTTACCAAAAATGTGCCTAAAATATAAATTGGGCTAACGTCATAAAAACCCTCAAGTTTTCAGGGTTTTGTCGGTTTTGCCCAAAGTTGAATTTTATGTCTGTTTTTATCCTAACATTTTCCAAAAAATGTTTGGTTTTACCCTTTTACCGGTAATAACAGGTTACCATCATATTAACTTCATAAAAAACCCTTAAGTTTACAGTTTTTTTACGTTTTTACCCTTAAGTTTATAACTTTTTTACACTTTTACCCTATGTATTTTTTTTCATATTATACGTATTCATGCAGAAAAATCATATTTATATACGAAAAAAATTTAACTAAATATTGTATTTACATTTTTTAATGTTATTTCTT